CTGTTTTGCACTGAAGTCTCAGAGCTTCACAGATCATTAAAGGTTTCTGAACCACAGAGAAAGGAGGGCAGAGTTAAGGCAATAAATCAAAAGTTCCTCTGGGATGCACAAATGCCTACTTGGAACAGGCTTTCACCACGAATATCCTCCACATGAAACAACAGGGAGGACTTTTCAAAATAAAAGCAGAAGAGAGATTCACTTTGTTATAAGCAATGCACTTTCGTTTTGGTTTAAAGGTTATGTGTGCTATAAAAAATGACTCCTGCCGTGAGTGCTGGGGGAGGTGGAGGCTGGGCTGAGGGCAGAGGGTGGCAGTGAAAGAAAACAACTGTAAGTGAACAAAAAGTCTCACAGAAATGCTCGGTTTGGAGGCACCCCAAACAAGTGAAAATGTGTTGTAATATTTCAGGGGTAGGATGTGAGGTAGAGGAATGGTATTAGAAATGAACGTCCGTCACATTTACTCCTTGCCATCCTTGCTAAAATCTGAAATACTTCTCCCAAAGCCAGAGAGAGATTCTCTTGATTTTCTTGAGCAACATACTCAGTAGAAGACCTGGGGACACAAACTATCATCTTAAATGCAGAGCCACATATTTCTCAAGGAAGCGTCAGCTGTCTCAAAACCAGCAGAGGGAGTACAGCATCTAAGAAGAGGAAACGGTCAACCTGATACCTAAAGCTATGTGTTTATCCAAGACAGCAGTTGTGAAGGTGAGTTACTGACCTCTGACCTTGCCCTCATGTTATCTATCAATGGTAAACAGAATGAAATACTAGACTACCTACTCAGACTGGATGAGTCTGTTATGACAACCAGGTGAGCACCGAGGGAGAAAAGCGGAACTGCCACACTTCTCTGCAAGGGCACGCTGACTGTGAAGTGTATCGCTGGGGTACCCCCTGCACCCATCTGGAAGGAGGCAGGAGGGATCTAGGAAGGGGAAAAGCCTAGTGAAAGGCAGAAACTCTAATGTGGAAGACCGACAGCAAGCATGAGAACAATGATTTTACCTTAAAATCCAGGGCTCCCACTTTAGTCTGTGAACCGTCCATTTCCAAACTTTTTACTTCTGAGGGGGAGGAGAACTCTGGCATTCAAGCTTTGCTTTCAACAGCTGGTTGAAAGAAAAGCAGCAAAGGAAGGCATATGTCTGCTAAATGACTGCTATCTTCATCTTCAGCCACAGTTTACCAAAACATGTAGGAATGGGCTGAGGGACTGATTTGGTGTCAAGATGATCAGCATGAACAAGGTTCCCGGGGAGGGTCTGAGGCCCTGGGTAGTGACTAAAGCTAACGGTCTATTCCATAAGGAAAGAGCCAACTGTTTCACACACGATTATGCTGTGGTCTGGCACTGGAAATATTTGCTCAGGTCCACTCCAGGTGTTAAAATGGCCAAACTGATAAGACAGTCTGATTACGCATTGCTCTATCAGGTAACGTCTTTTACTAAATCTTAATGTTGACACTTTCTCATTGTGGGAAATGGGAACTGGATTAAAAATGCTAACCTTAAGGTATGCTAAACCCAAAAGACTAAACAAAACCTAAGATGTGACTTCTGCAGGGTAAGGGAGAAGGCTAGGCAAGGGATGGGGGCACTCTGGCTGGTCAACACTGTGACAGCGCCAACAACAAAGGAGCTCACCTAGAATGGATGGTGTGGGATGCAGAAGCATGCTTGGACAGCTTAAGGCCACAGGCCTGGGCAGGGAATGTGAAAACTACCCTGACCCACCTGAAGAGCCTCCATGAGGGAGGATCATGGCAATAATTCTCTATGTCATCAAGGGACATGTCCAGGACAACGTATAGAAGATGAAGTGATTCAGATTCCAATTTAATAAAAGGAGGACATTTCAAACGATGGAACTGTGCCAAACCACCAGGGTCACATTTAATGGGTTCAATGTCTCCAGGTTCTCAGGAACAGCAGGGCAGCTACTCTGTAGGAATGCTATAGAGGCATTCAGGTATTGGGAAATTTTTCAATAGACAACAAGGATACTGCAAGGACTTTCTTTGGCAAGGAATTTCAAACAAGTTTTAACATTTAAAAACACCTATCCTTCAAAAAGCTTCCAATTCTAACTGCATATCTTCTAGGATAAGCACAATTCCCTCAGCCCTCATCTTCAGCTCCTCGGACTCCTATCACCACTTAATGTCCACACCACAGAGTTTAGAACTTGGGTTCATGCCAACTCACACTGTGGCAACCAAACAGCTGGAGACAGCCCCAGGGAGCAGAACCACATCTCTTATCTTCTCATCATACTCAATGAGTCTGTAAGTGCTTGCTGATCGACTGATATTAGGAATAAACTTTTTACATTCACACTATCTAAACATCCTAAGTCACTGATTTCTAGAAAACTTTTATACAACGAACGTAAGTAATATAAATATAACATGCCAGGTAAAGTATGTAGAGGGAAATTAGTAATCAGAACAGGATATAGTACAAAAGAAAACAGTATGCTTTGAGTCTAAGACAAATTTACTGGACAAATGGGTACATATTTCTAATTGTAAACTTGCATGTTTTAATAGAAACACAAAATGACTATATAAGAAGTACTCCATCCTTTAACTGTACTACTCTGTCAAATCATCTGATAGACATGGTACAAAGAAGCGCAGGGACTTTTCTCTTGAGTCACTTGAAGAAATAAGGACTTCAAGTTTTGATAAGTGAATTCAGTGCACAGGACAGGGCAAACTTAGAAATTCATTTTAAAAGCTTGGTTTTGTTTTTTATACCACATTTTCCAGAATATCTACAGTTTGCCTAGTTTTGCTTTACTTACTGCCTGCTTTACTTGGCTGAAGCTGGCCATGCATATGGATTCACTGGGCCTATTTCCTTTAGAATTTAATTATTCTTCCTATTGTTCTGCAAATTCCAGATTCCCTCCCCAAATTTAACACTTCCCCTGACAACTTAAGGCCACAAACCTCTGACCTGATTCAGTGTACCTCATTAGCACATTTCCCAAACAGAGCATTTGTGGGAAGGAGAACTGAGTTCTGATCCTAGGAGGAGTATGCCTAAATCAATAATCACCAAATCCCAAAGGCACTGGACCTACACTGCTACAGCCCTCTAAAATAACCAAACACACAAAAGTCAGCATTTCTTGCCAAACTCAAGAAAAATTCAATGCCTGCACATGGGAACAAAGAGACAATGGCTGCAGCTGAAAACACATAACCAAAGCATCATAGGAAAAAAACTTTAACGTAATATTGTTCAGAACATCCTCAGTAGTGTTTCACTCACACAGCAAAGACACAGGATAAAAATTCCAGAGACTGTTTTCAAGATAATAAAATGGCATATGATGGTGAGTCACTAACTGACTAAAAGGAAAAAAAAATCCATAAACAGTCACAGGAATCTTGCAAAGCTGCAGAGATCTGGCAACACTTAACCTCCTCCACCTCGTTTGGCTCTCATCTCCAGTTCTCTCTCTCTCTCATCTCCAGTTCTCTCTCTCGTGATCATTTTGAAGCCAAGCTGCAATTGGGTAATGGCTTATTCTACTGCTTAAGACAATATTTTCTTCTCTCGCTCAATAAACCTGCTGAGAAAAATAAACAATGAGTTTCAATCTTATAAATAATCTAGAAAACAGAATTGCTATGCAAATAGTAGAGGTGATTTACTGCCATGACAAAGAGAACAGGAAGGTCCGATGTGGACCAGCGAACTCCAGGTGCTAGTCTTCCCACCCAGGGGCGCTAGAGTTAACAAGGATTTTCTGTCCACTACACAATCTAAAGCCTGCATGCCCAGGGTTCAACTGGTCCTTAAAACAGCATCAAAGCAGATCATGAAAACCAACACAAAAGAGCAAAAGATGAGGAAAACTTTTCCCCAAAAACATCGAGGAGTTTTAACCTTCTAGGACCAATAATTATATATCTATGATTATAATGTATTTCTATCCCATCATTCAGACATGTGTGAAGACACACACATATTTCATTTTTAACAAATATTAAGTAAGAGCCTGTTATAGGGCACTAATGGTGGCATAAAGTATTAAAATGAGGTCCCTGCTCAGCAGGTCTTATGTTCTACATAAATACATACATGCATATACATGTGCAGAATAGAAATGCATGGAAGAAAAAAGGAAGCAAAGTCTGAAGTCCAAGACTAAAATAAAATATATATAAATTTCTAAAGAGCAGATCAAAATGCAATTCTTCTGACAGAGGAATTGGGCTCTTTGTGTAGTGGCCACCAGTCTATAGAGAAAAGGGCTCATGTGGCTTTCAGAGATTACAGCCCAAGCAGGACTTATATAACTGAGCTCTGAACAATCTCCACAACTGTAACTCAGGCACCTTCCAGAGAAGAAGACAAGCCCCGCCGGCCTCTTCACTAGACTGTGAGCTCCATGAGGGTGAGCACCCTCAGGCACCTCTGACACTCTAGAGAGAGCACAGGCATTGGGTACCAAAGGTTCCCCAAAACAGTTCCCAACACACTCCCAATTTTGCCAAATGTGATGATGGCTTAAATACCTCAAAGGTATTTAAGAGAATTATGATGCCACAATTGAGAGGGTTCAGAAGAAGGATTTAAGACACCTGAACAGAACAAAGAATCATATATCCAAAGTGGGAAAAATAACAAAGACCATTAATATTGAAACTTAGTTTAAAAATAAAACATCTCGAAAAGAAAACTTAGGTCAATGGAGTTCTGGTGTCCCAAAAAAGATGTCTCCTGCTTGCTTTTCTTACTTCCATAATACGATTAATGGTTTTTCAATTACATACAACAGAAAAAAAATGTTCTTGGGGGAGGTAAGTTACCAGTGGTAAGTTCCCCACTGGTAAGCAGATGTGAGGAAGACTGAGGTGAATGCTTTGCTTACTTTTCAAAACAATACAACAAATTTTTACTTTATTTTCCTAAAAGTATTACTCAAGGACACAACTTCAAATAAGCTTAAAATGAATCAACTATTCAAGGATTATGATTTCAGACACATTTTAAAACACTTTTAATGTCAGTTTTTAACAGACTAGATGTATTTTTTAAAACATCAGCAAACTGTATTTTCAAAGTTAGAATGGGTTCACAGATCATACAAGGCTAAAAAAGTAATTATTTATGATATAAAATATGAGCTCCAAGTGGATAAACACATTGAATATAACTACAGTAATCACAACTTATAAGTCTTTTTAAAAACCATTTCAAACCTTTCATTTGTTTTACTAGCTAATAAAATGGGCGAGTCTATCTAGGCTTCAAAGTCATAAATGTCTCCATCTAGAAGTCATCAGGTAACCAAGATGAAGCCAAATCATAAGAAATACACATTAGCAAATTCCAAGAGCTAAATAAATAACTGATCCATATAAACAGCACTGTGTTCAATAACACTTTACAAGTCCAAGGCCTTTTTCATTTGCGTGCAGTTTCTACAAGTAATACATTGCACAACTGAAGCACCCTCACGCCCTTCCCACCACTTCTAATAGGAAGGATAAGGCCAAGGACAGGCCAAAGACATATACACTGAGAAGAGCAAATATCCAAGGCCCTTGGTTTAAAAAGTCACCTAATTTAAGACTTCCTTTTTTCCCCCAACATCACCACCAAAACTTTCTTACATGCAAATTTCTTATCTGCTTCACTTATACAAGGGAATCAGCCAATCTCTTTTAGATTACCCTAGTCAAGACTGGAACACTACCCAGTCAAATATCCACACAGTTTAGACTACCACAATGAATAGATTCTAGTCTCTACTCCATTTTAATGGGAGCAAACCCTCTGCATGGGAATAACTAAAGGATCACGGGACTTGCTGCCAAAGTGCCATGTCTGCTTCTATCGGTAATCACTTCTGGCCTGAATGGAAAATTCCAACTCTATCTGCATGGACTCGAGGACAAGTTATTAAGAGAAAAGGTACGGCACAAGTCTCTCCTTGTACCCAATCTTGCCAACCTCTCAAAGTATTTATATTTCTACTTCATATGAGAATGCCAGTGAAAGAAACAGTGAATATTAAATATGTAAACTTCATATTAATAAGAGAAGGCCATCCTTTCAAATAAACAGGTTTCTTTTAGAAACAAATAGAGTCTAGCTCAGCCTAACTCACATACTATGACTGCATGCCACACCATAAAGAGGACAACAGTTTTTCTATGAAATACGACAGGAGTTACAATGTGTTTCTAGGAAAAAATGGGAGTGTGAGATGGGAAGAAGGAAGCTATACTATGAAATTTTATTACTGATAATGAAAACAGCCCCAGAGACTTTTCTCTATGTTTGAAATACTTTATAACAATTTGAAAAATAAAATCAAGCCCTAATAGTCCTAACACTGAAACAATGGACAACTTTTAACAGAATAAAAACAATGTTCTATCAAGAATGGATGTGACACACAGGCGCAGGGTTCTGCAAGTCGGCATTACTGTAAACAGCAGTGCTTCCTACACTTTACTGTGCATTCAGATCACCTGTGGGGACTGATTAAAATGCAGATTCTGGTTCAATAGGAATGGACAGGAGCTCAAGAATCTGTAATTTTAATAAGCTCCAGGTGATGATGACAATGATGGTAGGAGGCCCACACTATGAGCAGGGAGCATTTGCAGGAGAGATACTGGGTTTAAAACCAGAGACTTTCTCAAGTATTGTCATGTGGCTATAACATATTCGTATCCTCAATAGTACTAGCCTATTCAGGAAGTTCAGACTTTGTTATGTAACATTAGATTAAGCATTAATGAGGCTAGAAAATTGTTTATCTAAGGTTATAATCTGAAGTTAAATAAAACTTCATGCTGAAAGCTCATATTGAATGCTAGAGTCATTTTTACCTCTTAATATTAACAGAATCTTGATTACTCAGTCTTAGAGCCCTTTCTCAGCAGCAGTCATTCTTTGCTGGAGGAATATGCTCTATGCAAAAGACATTTTGCCTAAAGAAATGAACAATGAATATTCAGTAGTTATGTACATATTTAATAAAATTCACTCCCAGAAATGTGGCTGAGAAAGGTGGTTGATTGTCATGTTATTTCTTAAATTAAAATTTTAAATCTCTAATACTTTTCATCCTATCACTCAAAACATCAAACCAGTTGCCCCTTCCCTGAGCTCTTGGCCCCATTCAAAAAAAGTGACACCTTTTCAGTAGAGAAAATCAAGAGAAAAGGCACTCTTCCATTTCCATAAATCACTTTCAACTCCCCATTTTCTGTCTTACCACAAGACTGAATTATTACGAGAACCTCCTCTCTGGTCTCCATCTTGTTCATACTGTTCAAGAACACTCCCATAGCTCAGCCCAGATGCTCTCACATCTCTTCTTAAGAGACTTCCATGGGTCCCCAAACACACTCTTTGGAGAGAGTGCAAGGTTCCCCAAAGTCTACCTCCAAGCCATAAATTTGGCCTAAATCCTCCTGTATCAGCTCATGCAACCTTCTCTCCAAGCACACTAATATACTTGCTGGGCACGTTTTGCAATTTCCTGTCTTCATGCCTCTACTCATGATATTTCCTACAGCTGGAAAGTCACTTTTCCTCCACCCTCTCAACGTGGCCTGTCCAAAAAACATATCCTTCCTTCAAAGCTCAGTTCAGACACCACGCCCTCCAATTAGCCTTCCAAAAGTCCCCAGCCTCTGAACTCACTTTGTGGGGTCTGAACCTCCACCAGGGCCCTTAGCACATACTGCCAAATGTGACAGGCATGTCAATGGTTCATCCTCCCCACTGTAACGCCAGCTCCCTGTGGGGCACGGATAGCACCTTGTTTCTCTTTATAGATATTCCACCCATCACACTGCTCAGTTGGCACAAAAAGAATGTCTAGCTCTGAAAATGGAAGTGGGTGAAAATGAGTTTCTAGTACAGTAAATACTAATGCACCAGCAACTGGGTTTACAAGTAACATGAGCTTAATCTCTTTTGGGCTAAGTGCTCAAAAATAAAACTACAGAGATAAGAAAGACAGTCAGGGTGTGCGCCTTTTCACGTTCTCCCTCCAGAGGCTAACACTTTGCAGATACCTCTTCTCTCTACCAAGTTGGGGCAGATCAAACTGTCTTCTCGCTAATGTTAGCCGTATCTGAGACAGGTCATTGAGCAAGTGCTCCCTTGTCTATGATCCAATGCTAGCTGAATTTGTCTGAATAACAGTACACAGAGCTATACACAAAGGCCAGCCAGGATTTAAGGGACAATCATCCAGGTGTCAGACATGGAAAGTCTTTCATTCAAACAACACAGACATATTCTCAGGGTAAAAGAAGACATTCGTCACTGTCACCTGAGTAATTATCTCATGATTTTGAAGCAAACTGCACTGTGTATAAAAATCAAATGAAAAGTTCTTTTTGGAACACCCATGATTTTCTATTTTTCATAACATGGGTTCCCTTCCTGGTAATTAAGTTTCAACTCTATTAGGTCTCCTATTTTTTCAGGTATTACCTTAACATCAGAAGTCATGTAATTCATCGACCCAACGACTACATGGCAGTGCTTAAAGCAGAACCCAAGAATCCTGGTTCCCCACCATCTTGTCAGAGGCTCAGTCATGGGACACTCACATTGATTTATACAAATGTACTAACACGAAGACTCTGATGTGGTTTAGGCCAAACAGTGTCTTGAGGGAGAAGAGGTATAGAGCCAAGGGGAATCTGAGATGCTCAGCAAATATTTCTTAATATATTTTACTACTAAAGATAACTATACACCTTGTAAGCATATTGAGGGAGACAAATGGTTATAGAGAAAGGGAGAATAGGGAGAAAGATCATATGTAAACTATGGGATATTTGTACAACCATGATTCCACAGTATCTGACTTGCAGTTATTCTCTTGGGTACCATGAGGTTAACACGTAATACCCACTCAACTAAACCTCTATAAACAGTTGGTTTTCCGCAATCACAGCCACCATTCCCACTTCAGTGGGCAGCAGTGTCCAGAGAAAAGCCAGATTTAGCTCCTGTCTAATAAACACCAGAAACCAGAAGAGCTAGGAAAGCTGTTTATGTCTATGCCCACCAGGAACCTTTGTCTGCATGACCACATGGAATGAACTGGTAAGAATGGAAGTCTCTTCAACAAAACTTCAAGACAGAGGAAATACATCCTTAAAACGAGGCACTGCCCTTCATCCCCCCTTCCCAGTTTTTCAACTGAAAGGGTTTTTGGCAAAACAGGTTAATGAAAAATAGGTAATATCTTTTTATGTAAGTTCAGTATGTTTACAAGTAGAAAATAATTCTGTACTTTTCATAGCATTTAGCTACTTTATGTAGTATTTGGGGTAGATGGGGAAAACAATCATTTTCAAGTGTTTTTATGTACTCTTTATAGACGTTATCTCATCTAAGTTCTCAAAACAATTCTAAGGGGTAAAAAGATCACTTCATTTTACAGACACAGACATTAAAGGATAGAGAGGTTGAATAATCTGCCTAAGGCCCCACAGTGGCAGAGGAGGCAAGAACCATCACTTTGCTGTCAGACCCAGCAAAAGACAAAGAGGTGCAAATATCTTACAAAGATTGTAGCACCTATAAAATTCTCATGCAAAGAAACACCATTTTAGAGAAAAAAATTTCCCAGTCCTTGTCAGGATTTGACCTGAACTTCCCAAAGAACAGCTCAAAGCAGACTGCACAGTTAAAAGAGATCATCAAGTACTATAGTTACCGGTAAGGCCAAGAATAGAACACAGGTCTGCTGACCTTCGCGCCCATGCCCAATCAGGCGTGTGCTTTTGGATGCTGACACCCTTCTGAAGTTTCAAGTCAGTTGAGAATACCAAAGAAATGAGTTAATAATTCTGGTAAATAGAAGAGAATGTGGCAAGTCTCTAGATCAGAAGGATTTGCGAAGCATGACCATGTGAAGATTTCTACCAAGGAAGTTTTGAACCAAGAACACTAGCACCTGCAAATTTTCTCATCTTCTGCAGCAAAAATGAAAAATAACCTTTGCCCTCCCCTCCCTATGAATTGTGAATGATTAGCTTGGCTATGTTGACAACTAAGGAAAATATGAGATGACTATCTCTCCCAGTTGATTAGAATACTTACAGATTTACCCTACTACCAAACTCCTCCAATTCTATGCAAAAGACAGCAGGACACTAAGAACATTTAGCCAATGTCAGCCATAATAAATCGTCCAGAGCTGAAAACTCTCCCAGTAGCTCCAATTCTCGTGCCCTGATGAAGAGGCTGGAAACAGGAAGACTGCTGGGTATCAGAAAAGTGAGAAGAGGAGCCACATGGCTGGGAAACAGGGATGGCAGAGGTGATGGGGAAAGATCTCAGGAAAGAGGTCCTGAGAACCAGCTCAGAAGTTTGGTGCACTGAGAACAACTCTGTGGAGGAGAAAAGGCTGCTTATTGAGTCAGATGTCATCAATAAAAATAACAGACAACCAAGAACAAGAAGAAAAACAGATTAGAAGACCCTCACCCTAGGTTAAAGGTTATTCAAATCCATTCCCACTGGAGAGATAAACCACTAGATAAAATTGTCTGGCATTTCCAAAAGCTAGACAGATTTTAGATTAATGCTTAATCTTGCTACTATAAGTTTATTTTTTAAGCAGAAAAATAAAATAATTGTTGAGCACTATCTTATATCAAATTCTTCATGGTTTGCAACTTTTAGCAGAGCACAGGGATAGATAAAACTTCAGTTGAGAGGTTATAATCTGGCCCATCACATTAGGTCAAATCACTTCTTTCACTGTTCCACATTAAATATCTCTTTCAAATCTGTTCTGGAAAGAGCAAAAAATAAGTTGATTACAATATATTTTAGTTTAATGTCTATAAACAGTTACTTTTTTTTTTTTACCATTCTCAAAATGACCCATCTCAGCATATTGAGATGTATAATAAATATTAAAAGCTTAATCTAATTATGATTGATTGATGCAAACCACCAATTTATATGAGACTATACTTGAAACCTCAGAACCCTTCTTCCCTATTATGGGTTATCAGTGTTCATAAGGAACTATACAGAAAGTGTCGAGAAACAGTTCATTAAAACCACCACCACCACCCAGAATAAAAGAATGAAAATGGAACAGAGGAATGCAATAAACAACACCCAATTAGAAACCAAAAACCAAAACAACCCACCTGCTTTTATAAAGGATATTCTTCATCCACTTCCTCTCTCACACTCCCTCTTTCCAGCCCCCCTAAAAAAAGCAGCTCCATGCCTAAATATTCACCCTCCAGCCCCAAGTTCTGAAGAACACTGCTGCTTACTGGGCTCCACTTCCACCAGACTCTGGCAAGCGGCTGGTCCTACTCCACTCCCAGGCTCCCCTTTCCTTGGCTGCCAGAAGGACTCTCTCCTACCCTCCTCCACTATCACCTGTAGCAAATTGCTGGTAAAGGAGACCGAATTCCCTGCTAGCATTCTCTTCATACAACTTCACTCTGAAGTTTCCTCAGCAAACCCTCCCACCCCAAGTTTAGCAAGATCTGACTCTCAGCTTTGTGAAACATCAAAGTAATTTTTTAAAAGCCTCATTTAAGCAATTTATAAGAATCCTTGTGTATCTGCCCAATGAAAAGTACAAACTTTTAGGGCTGGAAAATTAACGAGTTAAAGCTACTCTTCAAAACATACCAACATTGAATAAAGAAAAAGTCCCAATAGAATCCAAAGTAAAGCGAGCTACAAACCTCTTAATTCTGCTGTCTGGTTGATGACTTTTGTCAATAACCAAATCCAAGCTAGAGATAAACGACATTTCCTATTTCGGCCACTGTAATTAAAATTAGATGTTAACTCCCTAACACCCCAGACTCCCCTCTATGCCCCACTAACCCTCTGTTGCCAAAGACCTTTCTGTTCTTACAAGTCCACTTTTTTTCTGGGGAGACAAGCATAATTTGTCACTTTACTGTCTAAAATCATGAGCTAAAACTAAAAGTGAAGGAAGTAAAATGAATAGGATCCTATAGGCCAGCCTAAGTCTGAGCACAGCGCAGGCTTAAAGGAAACCATTTCATAAGATCAAGTGCAGAGAAGCAGCAGGAGCAATGAGGCAAAAAATCAAGTTACATAAAGTCCAATTGTACTCACTGTTTCCTTATTGGGAAGCAGCTCCTTTCTAATTCTGAAGAAGTTCTTGCCGTACTGCCTGAGCCCCTTAACGAAGCGTTTCTGTGATAAAAAGAAACGGCAAATGGGATTTTAAAACCAAAAGCAAAACAGGATGTCAGCAAAGCAAAGATATCTGCAATCAGCACAGTAACAACCGCAAAAAAGTCTTAGGGAATAGTGGCGAGGCTGGGGGAATATTACAGCAGCACAGCTGGGACTCATGGCCAGGGCAGGCCGTGAAGAGCCGTCATCAGAACCCTAACCACACACCAGACAGGTTTAGGAGGACATCCTGTGTCTGAGGCTAAGAAGCAATCCGTGCCCTCTGTGCCACCAGTCCCCGCACTGGTCCATGAAGGTATAAACAACAAATATACTCCGTGTTTCAATAAAACGGCATAACTGCTTTCCACCTGAGAACGAAGCTTCCCAGTGTCGAGCAGAAAGGGGGAAACAACCAAACGTGGAGACTTTTCTACAGAAGGGTACCCCAGAAGATTAAAAGGCCCTTTCGTTAATCGGAAGAATTCACCAGGAAAGCATCGATATCTCGGAAGCCCACTGGGAGCCGGAACCCCAGATGGCCTGCCCCGCCATCGCCATTAAAAGCCGCTCCAAGGCACCAAATAAAGAACCATCGGCACCCCTTCCTTCTTCCTGATGCCCCTCACCGCCCCCGCCCCATTTCCTTAGCAGTCTGGAGACTTTCACTTTGTCCCATTCGTCCCGGACAGCCCCCCCCCTGGCGCAGTGGGGCAGCCCCAGGCTCCCCCGGCGCCCACCTCGGGGCTCGAAGCCCGCTCCCGTGCCGCGACCCCCGCGGCACTTCGCGGCTGGCCGGCCGGGCGGCCCGGCAGCCACAGGTACGCCGGGCCGGCGCCGGCCGCACTCAGGGTCCGGGGCGGAGAGAGGCCGCGCCTGTCACTCGGCTTCGGCTCCCGCTCCACAAAGCGCTGGGCGGAGGCGGCCGGCGCGGCTCGGCGTGTGACTGCGGCGGGGCCGCGCGGCGAGGGGCGCGGGGGGCGCGGGGCTGGGGCGGCCGCCGCCGCCGCCGGGGGAGGAGGCTCGAGCGCGGCGCGCTGAGCCCGGCGCGGCCGCGGGCGGCTGCAAAAGGCGGCCTGGATCGCCGCGCCGCCCGCCGGCCCTGCGCTCCGGCCCCCACCCCGGGGCTCTGCGTCGGGCCCTCGGCCAGAGCCTCCCGGGACCCCGGCGACGTATCTCGGTTTCTTCCTTCCGAACAGCAGGAGTAAACCCCGGCAGCAAAGCAGAGAAACTTCCTCCCTACCGCGGCGAGCGCGAGCAGAGGGCTCCCGCGGGGCTGGGGCCAAGCCGGCACTCCGGGCCCTTCCCAGGCCTCTCCGTCTCCAATCCTCCCTCCACGCGGGCAGAGTCAGCAACGCGACGGACACACGCCCACCGCCCGCAGGCTGCGAGATGGGGGGCTGGCCCCGACGACCCCCGTGGTCCCTTCCGGCCCGGGATTGTGGACGGCCACTCCCGCCCGGCCCAGGCATCAGCCTGCACCTCGCAGGGCGCCGTTTCACAACTAAACCACCGCGGAAGCTTCCCAGCCAATAAATCACCTGCCCACCGGGAGGAGAGTCCCTCCCACTCCCCGTGTTTGAGACCAGCCGGGCAAATTCAGTGAAGAGCCAGCCCTGGCCTGCAAGACCGATCTGCAACCTCCTACTCCATTCCTGGAGTTTCTGCATTTTCAGATTTCACCCCTTTCTAAGATATGACTCATCATTGTCAGTTTTCAATATAATTCGTATAGTTCAGAGGAAAAATCTGTCAAGGTACAAGAAAGAAGCCCTCCTTTAGTCTGATGAAGGGTGACCTTTGTTACTTGACAGAAGTATCATTCATAAGATCAACATGCATCCTGGGCTATATGCAGAGCATCTCCACAGGGCACACAGAGAGGAAGGAGACTGCCCTGCCCTCAAGGAGCTCTAGTCTGGCAGGCATGGCAGACAGGTAAATAGATGAATTTCTAGGCCCCAAAGAAAAGCAGCAGCAGAACAAAGGATGGTGGGTGGGGCTAGGAGGAGGAAGCAATTTACCCTACTGATGTCTTAGAGGAAGTGACAAGGAAGAGCATGAGCCTGCCAGGTGGGATCCAGCAGGGCCTCAAGCAGAGGAGTCAGCCAGGAAGGGCATACAGAACATTCTGGGAACTGCAAGGAGGACAGGGTGTGCAGAATAGAATGCCAGAAGATAAGACTGAAGAGGCAGAGAGGATCAGGTTGCAGAGAGAATCAAAGCCAGGCTGAAGAGTTATAATCCTAATTGTAGAGCAGTAGAGAAGTTTAAGCATGAGTGCTCCATGAAAAGACTGCTCAGGTGGCACCGTGGCCTACGGCATGGATTAAGGGAGAGACTAGCTGTAATGCAGGGAGACCAGCTGAAGAGGCTGGTGAGCTACCCCAGGGGTGAGATGACGCGGACCTGACCTCAACCTCAGCCCTAAGAATCAATGCTTATTAATCCACTCTTTAAGTATTTACTGAGCACCTAGCACTGAGAGGAATTAAAAAAAAAAGGTAGCCGTTGACCTTTATTAAAACTGTGATTCATTTTTAGCAGGTAAGATAAATGTATGGTGAAATCATTACAGAACAGTGTGAGATTTAATTCAGCCAAGCATAAAGTAGTGAAGTGCAGCTCATCAGTGCAGCAAGGGAGCCAAGAAGAGGGATGGACTGTAGCAATCCACAATGCCTTCCCCAAGGCAGTGAGACAGGCCAGATCCCAGGTCCTGAAGAACCCACAGCATTTGCAGGGACACACACACACATACACACACACACGACCCTCCATGAAATACAGAGGTAAAGAATGGGAAGTGGGTTATAGGAGAGGGGGAAGTCTACACAAAATTGAGGTAGGCAATCTGGCGTGAGTCTGATGGCGGAATGCCAGGACTATGCACTTTGAACATGGGCTTGATGCCAAAGGACACACAACAGTTTCACTAGAAGAGGCCAGCACAATGAAGGCAGCATCTGAGAAAGACTGAATCTGGAACAGCAGGGTCATGTGGTAGAACTGGGCAAACTTGAGTTCAGATCCTAATTCTTCAACTTGTTATAATGTAATACTCTGAACATCATCCATTCAACTAATAGTTATTAAGTACCTACTACATGGCAGGAGCCTCCCATATATTAATTCAAAACCCTCACAACCTAGAAGGAAGTACTACTATTCTCTCCAGTTTACAGACAATGAAGCTGAGAGGCACAGGTGGTTAAGGAACCAGACCAAGGTCACCCACCTCCTCAGAGGCAAAGGCAGACTTCAAACCTAGGCTCCAAAATCCATGCCCTGGCCTGCCACGTTCTCTGGAGAATGGAGGTGAGAGCCATTTTCAGTCGTGGTGTACTCTCTGTGACTCTGCCCTTTCCTGTAGGCTCCAACATCAAATGACCAAGTCCTCAGTACTCTTCCTAAAAAAGGTCTTTTAATGGCCTACTTTCCTGCCCATCCCCGCGCTAGTCCCAGGCCAAGCCCTCACCACTCTTTCCTACTAGCTGTCCTATTAACCCATCTTCCCCTTCTGGCCATTTACAAGCCTCTGCCAAGGAATTTTTCAAAGCCACAGATTTCGGGGCAGCCAGGTGGTGCAGTGGTTAAGTGCGCACATTCCTCTTCGGCCGCCCGGGGTTTGCCGGTTCAGATCCCGGGTGCAGACATGGCACCGCGTGGCACGCCATGCTGTGGCAGGCATCCCACATAGAAAGTAGAGGAAGGTGGGCACAGACGTTAGCTCAGGGCCAGTCTTCCTCAGCAAAAAGAGGAGGATTGGCAGCAGTTAGCTCAGGGCTAATATTCCTAAAAAAAAAAAAAAGCCACAGATTTCACTATGAGGCCCACATCACCTTCCCCAGCCCTACCTAAAGAATAGCTATTTGGCCTCTTTAGGGTGGTGTTTACACCCCTTAGTCCTGAATTCAAAGCCATCCAGGATCCTGTCCCTGCCTCCTTTCCAACTAGACGTCCAGTAGTGCCAACTGGCCCCATGCTGCAACCTCTGTCTGAACTCCAGACTCTGCAGTATCATCTCTCTCCACTCCACAGCCTATTCAAGAAACCTCCAGCTTACCTCAAACCTGACTTCAAATCCCTCCCACTCCAAAACGAAACTTCCCTGACCATTCCCTCCCATTCATCTGTCAAAGGCCTCACGTACTCAGAGAGTCTACAAGCTCTGAAGAGACAGGAATTTTATACCACTAGCCTCCCTATAGCACTAGGCATTTGGAGCTCCCAAGTTTTTGATTTTTAATTGTAACAAACCATGAGATGACAAGGGCCTGGGCTGAGGTGCTCACAGTGGAAACAGACTGTTAAAAGCCAAAGGGTCTATTTTGATCTCTGATAACAGAGCTGCCCTTCTTGGCTCCATGACAGCAAACTCCTATTTTCCTCATATCACCTGGCTTAATTCTCTACTCAACCTCTCAATGTAAGTCTTCCCAAGGCTTTGTTCTAGCCTTTCTCCTCTCCAAACTCCCTCCCAATATGATCTCCACTACTCTCTTGGCTCTAAATATCACCCAAGAGTCTCACTACTATTTCTAAGGCAAAAATCTATGGTCCAAACCCACAGGGAATACTTGCTTGAATGCCTCACAGACATTTCAAACCAACTACTTCCAGAAATCTGAATTTGACATCTGGTGGTGAACACAGACCACTGCTATCAATGTATGTCAATGACTATGCTATCAAGGGCAAAGCACCATCGGCTCCACTTTAAAAAAAAAAAAGGAAGTAAAAGCTTCATGTGGCCTGTACTGTTACTTCTCTATGGAAAGCCACAAGGCCTCAAAACTGGCAAAACATCTGCTTCTCAGAGACCAGCCTTTACCTTGTGGTTTACCAGAAATGTAGAGTAGCCTTTAAAAGTGAAACAAAGCCAACCCACTCAGAGCAGTCAGTGATTAGAATAGGCCATATTGTTAAATAGGTTCCCAGTCTCCTTTGCCTCTATTACTCTGTTCAAAAAGACCTCGACGTTTTTAGAAGTTTAATTTAATAATTAACACTAGAGA